ACGTCCAAGTAACAACATTAATTGGCAAGGGAGATTACCATCTGGAGTGGATAAAGAGGGGGAAATTCATTTATATTATCTTTTTATTCATTAAGTCATGCATAAATGGTACATTTCAGTTTATGATTATAAATCATAGCAGTTCAAAATATCTAACATTTCTGTGGTATACATTCGGTTTGCAGAATTCTTTCATGAGCATTTTGAGCCTCCCAAATGCTCATCAATCATGTGGCAGATATGAGAACCATCCCAATAACAAATATAGGAATGAGACTTACAGTGGGGAAATGGCTTGTCCAAGGTCACACAATTAGTAACAGGTAAATCTTGTACTTGCACCTAAATCTTATGAGTTCCTAATCTCTGTTGAATTTGAGAAAGAACAGCCTTATTTTGTAGGTGAGGCCTGAGACATTAGACTGCAACATTAGGGTGAGGTCACCTGTACCTTTTTTTGGTGTGTGTGTGAGAGAGAGAAATGCAAATTCTCAGGCTCCACCTCAGAACTCTGGCGTTAGGGCCTAGCAATCTGGTTTAATGAGTCCTCTAGATGATCCTCATGATTCTCCTGCTGCTAAAGCTTAAGAACCCCTGGGCTGAAGCTTGAGAACCACTGTGCTAAAGCAATGATTCTCAGCCTTGGCCACACACTGGAGTCATCTGGGAACTTTAAAAACTATTGAGGCTTTTGTCCCAACCCCAAAGATTCTGATTTAATTGATCTACAATATGGTTTTCAACCACATCACCTCTGACATTTTGAGCTGGATTATTATTCGTTGGCGGACCTGTCCAGTGCATTGCAAAATGATTAACAGCATCACTGACCTCTACCCAGTAGATGTTAGCAGCCTCCCTCTCCCCCACCACCAGTTGTAATAAATGTCTCCAGACATTACCAAATGTCCCCTGGGGGCCAAAGATGAGAAGCACTAATCTAGGGCCATGGCCCAAGCACTGGGATTTTTAAATGCTCCCTCAATCATGCTAATGTACAGTCACAGCTAGGAACTGTCACTCTGGAAGGTTCCTTTTAATGAGCAGCTTTGGATGTGCAATGGACTAAAGAACAAGAAAAGGTAAACTTTATAGCATTGGGTGTAAAGTTAGAATAAATCAACCTGCAGTGAAGACTCTGGCACTTTGCCCAGGAGCCAAGTATACAGGCTTTAGGGTGTAAATTTCACATCAACCATTGGCTCCTTATATTTTTGCTGACTTTCTGGTTGTTGGGTGTGTTCCAGAAAACTGACATAAACAGGTACTTTGCTCTTATCTAAAAATTCCCAACCAAGTAGATATTGCTTTGTGCTAAATATAATAGTGGACATCCTGCTTTCGAACCTAGTCCTTCTAAAAACAGGATGCTTATCAGTGTATCATGTGATACAAGTCCTTCTGTAAATCTGTTTTGACAGGCTTAAAAAAATTCAGCCCGTCAATTTTATGATGTTGATTTTGACACAATCCAAATCACCCATTTCTACATTAATGTGTGCCATTTAGTAGTATTTTAGTTTTCAGATGATGATCAGGAACTTTATATTTCAACTGTAGGAAAATCCCCTATGTAAGAACCAAGGCAAGTGTCCTACGGGAAATCTGTTCTCCACAGGCGGCCCTCTGCTGCCTCAGTGAATGCTCTGTGGTGTTCCTCTGTGACCCGGGAAGGGGAGGGCACAGTATGCATTTTAGACCTTAGGATGTGCATCATCGCCAAGTGCCTGCTCTGCACCTCATAGGCTGAGCAGTCCCATCCCAGCCCAAAGTGATAGGTCTCCAAGAAAATAGTTTGTGACCTGCCCTCTTCAACCTGGGTCTGAAGTATATCAATATTCTCCCACTTTCTCAAGCAACAGTTGGTAGGTGATTGTTTTTTTCAACAATAAGAGTGGAAATGCTACTTTGAGAGACTGAGAAATAAGTTTTAAATAGAAAATAAATTACAAGATGAATGTGTTTTCAGGGCAAAATTGGTAATACTAAGAACTATGTTATATGCTTGGAAATTATAGGCCCTTTTATAGTAAAAATAAGAATTGACTGCTCCAAGGTGCCAGATTAATTCTGTGAACCAATTGGTAGTAGCTTGTTCACGTTTTATGAAACCCACTAATTCTTTTGGCATAATCTAATTTATCCTAAGCAGTGGCTTATCTTTTTCTATCCTAGCCTAAATTGTTTCATCATTGTGCTTTTAAAAATTAAAACCTTTCGATTAGGCCTCCCAGGAAAGTACTTTAGGAAAAAGGATCATAAAAGACTGTTAATAGGTATTGTTTTTCATACAGTTCCACTTGTTTTTATGAAAGGCATATACCTGTATGTACTTAGGAAGATTTCCAGAAGAAAACACAGTTAACAGTGGCTGCCTTTGGGCAGGAAGTTTAGGGGCCTTGATGGGAAGGGAAACATGCTTTTCATTATACTTTTATACAGCTTATTTTTACCATTTAAAATTTTTTATTTTCATTTTTACATACTGGTATATAAAAGAAAGTACATACTCCCTGTAGTCTTTCAGAAGTTCCAAAATGCCTCTTCTAATAAGAGAAAAACGGGTGAGCTGCACTCCGTGCCTCTTTGATGCCCCTTCCTTTTGTACATGTTCTATTGCTAAAACAGAATGAGTTGAAAGGAGACTTTAAATGTAAAATTACTCCAACGTTGGTTCCATGAATCAGAATAACAAGCAGGTCCTACATGATTTGAGATTGGGTAGTTAAGGAGAGCCTCTTTGAAGAAGCCACATTTAACCAGAAAGGGAAGAAGTTGCCTCCAGGCAGGGGCTTAATTTCCGCTGACTGCATTGGAACAGTTACTATCCATACATCTTTCAGAATGGGGCAGATTTAGGTTGGGGAAGTCTACACTGTGATTGTATCTAACCTTTTCCTTCAATGAGTTCTTTCATTTCCCTTTGTCCCTACTTCCCCAAAAGAATCAATGCTCACTTCTGGAGAAAAGAAAAATAACAAAAATAACAAACACCTATTTGTGTCAATGAAATACAATTCTATAATATTTTTGGGCTCACCAAAAACATATCTTTCCCTCAGTCCTTCCTTTACACCTAGCCTTAGTTAAAACTTTAAGCAAGCACAAAAAAGGAAAAAATTCAACTGAGATTGGCCCAAAACAATACATGCTCAGTTGTGGATTTTTCTGCATCATTTTTCTTAGCACATGTCACTTAGACCTTCACAGGATTTCAGAGTCTCCTTGGATAAGCAAGAAACATCCTTTTTTCTCTCATTATTGGATGTTTTTATTGGGAAATCCATCCAAGTGGATTTCAGGATCCTCTGCCTCTGGGAATGAACCAATAATAACATAACAGTTCAACTATTCCAAAGCATATCCTATGACAACCCCTACACATTTAAATTATATCTCTGTAGTCTTTAATGGAGAATTACATTTCTGGGATAAAATACCAAACTCTATAAAAAGGAGCTTTCAGGTGTGTTTTTTCCTTTATAGGGGTGATTCATCCCAGAAATGGTGTTTTGCCTTTGCTTGCATCAAGCATTAATAACCAGCAATCAGCAATGGTATAATTGTTAGCTTCGTGAAAAATGTCAGAGTTTAGGGAAGTATTTTTGTGAAGAACCTATCAGTTATCCTTGGACAAAAGTTTATGTAGAAATTCTGAGAAGACACCAACGAATACTAGAGTAAGAGGAAGAAGAGACTAGAGGCAGGACTGGAATAAAGACAAAGGTCCTTTTAGAAAGCTATTCAGAAGAAAGGGAAATATATTAAAAGACTAAAGATAACTTCTAAAATTAAGTCAGTATAGGATCTTAGCCATAAAAAATAGAATTTTAGAGAGCTTTTGTTACTAAATTCTCAAAATGCATAGGTTCTGATTTTGTATCTATGGGATACTGGTTTCCCACCCTCTTTCAATGGACTCCCATTAATGACCACATTGACCATGAAATTAAACCTCACATAATGCTTTAGAAATGGTAGAACAGAAATTCGAAGCTCAACTTAGAGTTACTATGGCAATAGGTACTTTGCAAAGAAAAAAAGACAAATGTATCTAGTTAGTAGGATAGTGTTTCCTACTGAGTGAAGAAAGTTTAAATTCTGAGTCACTAAGCAAAATTTAGAAAAGAAATTAATACCATTTTTTACTTTGAAAATGCATCATATATTCAGCAAAGACTTCCCCCTCTTAGGTTAGCTGAACTATTCTTCTCCTTGTGCAATACCCCAATTAAAAGAATATCAGCAACTCCAGGGACTTCATGTTCTTGCTACTTACCACAGCCACTAGGGGGGGTCCATCCTTTCATACCAACAAAGACTTTAAATTGTCAACATGAAAAAATAGATTTTCCACAAATGTTACAAACAGATCACAGAAGCCACACTTTTCTCTGTATGATAAAGGCAAGTTTGAGTCTTAGTAAGGAAAGGCCGCTTATGACACACATACTGAAGCAGTCAGCTCCTCAAGCACAGAGGGAAAGGTAAGTTCCAAATAACTTTGGGTGTTAACCAGCTGACAAAGTCAGTACATCTTAAACCACTTCATTTTCCCAGTATTCTTCATAACCTCGCATTCAAAACTTTGGCTGCTTGTCAGGAGACAATATTATCTCCCAATTCCACTAGCTGAAAATGATTTGCTTTACTTATGGTTTAGCAAAAATTGATAAGAGATGACTGCCTTGCTTCTCTGTTAAGCTATCATCCAAGCCCCACAGTTTTGCTACTCTCTAAAAGTAGTTGTTACGACTATTATATGTAAGATCAAAGATTTATCTCTTCTGTTATTTTATTTATCATTTTCCAAACTTTTCCAGATTGCTGAGTCTTTAAAACATGAAAAAAAGGAGAAGAAGAATACTCTGTTATTACCATGCTAACTGGAAAGCAGAATGAATAATAAATTGTAGAAGTTTGGAAGATAATTAGAAGTATGTGTCCATGAATTCCATGCCAGCTCTGCCATTTCTTACTACTTTGTCTCCTTTTTTCAGCTCTTGGCTGGGCGCTGGCCTTTTGATCACAATGACTTTGGCGTATTTCTATGCAAGCTGTTCCCCTTTTTGCAGAAGTCTTCAGTGGGGATCACCGTCCTCAATCTCTGTGCTCTCAGTGTTGACAGGTAATGTGGTTCTTTCCCTTTACTCTTTTGTCAGATTTAGAAAATCATTTTTATCATAAGAAGGGAAGTCAAGAAGCATTGAGAGTTGGTGCCTGGATAGTTGTTATTTCAAGGGAATTAAAATATTAACAGTCTTACTCTACCGTTTAGAATTGCTTTTCACATTTACTGATTATTAGTCATCTTTGGCTTAGGCAATTTGCATCTAGAGCATTTTGTCAATTATATTCATTTGGCAGTCTAATGGCAACACAAATTCTAATTAAAAAGCATATTAAAAGGAATAGAGATTGAACAGCCCTTCTAGAAAACAAAATCCTACTGAAGGTTTGCCTTCTAATTCAGTAATAGGGCATAGATTCCTATTTCTGGTATTGGTTTGTCTCACCTATACCATCCCCACCATGCGTGGAAAAAAATTAACTACACATTCAATTACAAATTATCAGTTCTGTATCAATGTTCTTAATATTTGTGTGTGTGTTTTTTAAGAAAGAAAAAATACTTTCAAGCATCTACAGGATGTCCCCCAAAAATGTATACACACTTAACAGTTGATAACTCAATTAATGTTTCTTTTCAGATTTAATCCATTGGAATTAATTACTATTAATAATAATAATTATTCAAAGTGTGCATACATTTTTGGCAGACACCCTATATTTTACTAAGACTTGGTCTCAGTTTTAGGTCAAGAAGATAAGCCATTTTAAAATTCCACTCCCACAAAAATCTACTTTAATCCAGGAATTTTTTTCCTTGGTAATAAACTCATCATTCTTTGTTTCATGGGTCCTTTTTTATTATTTTTCCATTTTATTTGGTATTGACTCTAAGCTTGGGGACCTGCATGTAGGGAATCTATTTTGACATTTCTGTTTCAAAATGTTTCACACGAGAATGAATCATTCACAGTTAGTTCCTGAAGATAAGGTACCTTTGCTTTGAGTCTTGATTTGGTTGCATTGCATTCTACTAAAAATATGAAAATCTTTCTTTTTATTTCTTTTACTAAACTAAGGAGGAAAAAAAGGAAATTGGAACCTTTTACAAAACAATTTAAAACTCGGGAATCCATGCTATTAGTGTATGAGCTGAGTCAATTATGGCTCAGAAAGACTTTTCATGATTTTTTATATTTTTTTAAAAATATCAGTTAGCTCTCATTTCAGAGTTGTTTTGGGGGGGGATAATGAGAGTAACTGTACATCCAAGTTCTATACAGTTTCTTTATTATTTTATTGATTGCTCAATTAATACAGGATGCTGTGGGATCAAAGAAAAGTTCTGTTAGCTTTTAATCTGAATAAGGTAAGCAAAGGATGTAACCTTTTCACTAATTCCTCCTCAAATATAACTCTTATTTATTTGTATTTTACATCCATAGTCACTTAAGAAAAAGATAAAGTGGGAATTTCAGAAAAAGAATGAGGAAATTTAGAAACCTATTTTGATCCCTAATTCAGCTCTATCACTGAAATAATTTTTTAAATGCCAAGGTAGTATACTTCTAAAAGTATACTCCTATAAGTATATTTCTAAAATGAATAAATTTTTCCCAGCAAAATATGAATAATCAACCACTACCAATAATTAAAATAGATATTCTTACATGCCATAAGTGATGGATTTTTTTAAACCTACTTTAAGAAAATTTATTGATTTTCAGAGAGAGACCTCAATTTGTTATTCCACTTATTTATGTATTCATTGGCTGATTCTGACAGAGTATTCAACTCTAAACCTTCCTTCCTGTATTGGGACAAATCCCAAACCAACTGAGCTACCCGCCCAAGGCAGCTGGCAACTTTGAGTTTGGGGAGGAGAATTCAGTGTTGTTCTTTGTAGTTAGCAGTCGTATTTAAAGTGGAAAATGATGGAGGTTAGACCAGTAAAAGGGTTTGGGTACAGATTCAACTTCTAGTTAAAAGTTGCCTGGAGAGGGAGGCTGTAAAAAGATAAAACTCCTTTAACAACTACTCCAGAATGATGTACAATTAGACACCTGGAAAAGTTGCAAAGATTGACTAATAAGGCAACTTTGATAGGTCTCAAACTCAAAAGTTGATGTCAGTTCTTCATCCCATAATTTCAAATAACTGCTCAGTGGGCTCTGTGATATTATCAAAGGTTCATCCTAATTTAAGAAGCATGAAGGGGATGTTCTGAAAACCTTCATTTGTATTTAGACATGAACTTAGCTTCTCCTTACTCTCCTGGTGCTATGGTTTTCCTTTACTGGATGACAATAGTGAAGACGTGGAAGAAATGGCTGAGCCAGAAGAGAGAACGTGGGGACTGAATAAAGTCCAACGCTGGCTGTAGGGCAACTTGGGATCTCATTTGGGGTTCTGTTCCCTATTTCACATAGTTATTCATTCTTTATCTTAATTCTAATGTCAAAACCAGGCAACTGGTTAATTCTGCTAGCTCATTTTTCTTTGATAACCAACTACCCCAAGACGGTGGTTTAAAAGATCTACCATTTTATTATTATCGTACCACAGACAAGTCTTCTGATCCTTGTTACTTTGACTGGGGTCTCTTGGTGGATTTCAGCTGGCAGCTGAGCATCTCCTTGGTGCAGGACTTACAGGTCTGGCCTGTTGGCAAGAAAAGCTGGAGTCTGAGCTCAGTGGAGCCCATCTCCCTCTCCATGTAGTCTAGGGCCCCTCAACACATTCTGCCCAGCAGGCTCAGGCTCCAAGGGGAACCTGTTGCTCTGCTTAGAGACCAGACCTAAAAGTGGCAAAGCATTGTTTCAGCTGCATCCAAGTTGAAGGACTCAGTTGAAAAAGTGTCACAGTATTTGCTGCTATAATTTTGTTTTTATGTTTTCTAAAATCATTTTTAGTTCATTTTACTGTTGATACTATGACCGATGTCCCCATTTTCCTCCCCTTTGCCCACCTCCACCCAGCCCCCACTGCCCCCTTCCCTCTGGCCATCACCACACTGCTGTCTGTGTCTATGGGCAGCTATCTTTTAATCCACCACACTGTGTTTCTCTTTAAAACTCTCACACCTAGTATTTTGCCTCTAAACCTCTCTATGGCAATTGGGTTGTCTATCACATGAGACATAAATCATAAACAAACATTAAAAATACAGTCAGGTCTGCTGTTAATCAAAAATGTGCAGAGGTTAAGACAGAAGTGCCACTTTACCTCATGAAAGTGGAAAATTGAAAGAAAAATAATAAATTCTAATGTAGGCAAATTTTGATTGGCACTTGGTAGGAAGGTTTTTTAACATACTTCAGTTACCTTTCTAGTTCTTTAATTCAATAATCCTACCCACTCAAGAAAATTAATCCTGGAAAATCATTCAAAAAGAGAAAAAATATATGTGTAGGTGTGTTATTCACACCTTCAAAGGCTAGAAATATGAACATTAAAGAAAGGTTTAAGTAAACTGCATCAGTATCTTATTATACAGGGTAACCATTAAATTAATAAATGGTATGCCTCTGTAGAAACATGAGAGTTTTTTATAATCTAATGTAAATAAAGCTAAAATAAAATTATAACTGATTTTTATATTGAAACTATGCTTATTAGAATAGAAATGGACAAATAAGAAGAAGAAAAAAAAAGATTTTGTTGAAGTACTTTTGAATTTGCTTTTTATACTGTTTAAAAGCACATTCAATAATAAACTTTTAAAAAATTAATGACCATACTAGACCATACTGTAAAGATTCAAAGCATGCATTAAACATCTCTGGCCTTGATAAAAATCTATTTTAAAAAATACAGAGTGGGCCCTAACCGGTTTGGCTCAGTGGATAAGGCGTCGGTCTGCCGACCGAAGGGTCCCGGATTCGATTCTGGTCAAAGGCATGTACCTTGGTTGCAGACACATCCCCAGTGGGAGGTGTGCAGGAAGCAGCTGATCAAAGTTTCTCTCCCATTGATGTTTCTAACTCTCTGTCCCTCTCCCTTCCTCTCTGTAAAAAATCAATAAAATATATTTTTTTAAAAAATACAGGGTGGGGCAAAAGTATAAGTGTATAGTTGTAAGTACTGTGAAACACAGTGTATTCTTGTATCATTATTTATTAATGATTTTATTATTTTCTGCACAAACAATTGTACACCTACTTTTGCCCCACCCTGTATACAGTAACCAACAACTTTACATAAAGAAAACATGTAATTTATAGTTTTATTTTGGCATATCACATGACAGGGTACAAAATTCACTGGAAACCAGGCAGAGGACATGGCAACACACCAGTCTTCAGGCTCCTAACTGGAACATAAAGGGGAGGAAGATCAGCCCAAAGGTCCCTCCTGGCTTTTTCATTATTTGATTCTAAAATTCTAAACGTATTAGCTCTTTATCTGTTGTTTTATTCAGGGCTGGCTTGAAAAATAAGAAAGTGTTCACAATGTAGTGTTCTATCGACTTTAGCCAATAAAGACAAATGCATGGTAAGGAAACAGACACTTAATTTAATAAATATTTATTCAGCATCTATTGTTCTAAGTATTGTGACCAACACACAAAATGTCTACCCTATGGAGTTTCTATTCTAAAGAGAAGGGTGGGTACAGACAATAAAAAAAAAATAGATAAGTAAAATATTTGACTGGTCTCATGGTAGTAAGTGTTATGGCGAAAATATATTAGGGTTAGCAGGACAGGTAAGTTTGAGGGGATGCTGGCAATTTTAATAGGATGTTCGGGGAAGGCCTCTGTAAAAAGGCACAACTGAGTAAAGACCTAAGGGAAGTTAAAAAGCAGCTCTGAGGTTACTGGGAGGTATTCCCATTGGGGTGGGAAACCATTGGGGTTTGAGAACAGAGTGACATGATTGGCTGATGTTTTAACCTGGTTTCTGTGTTCAGGGTAGATTGCAGTAGGGCAAAGTGGATGCAGGGAAACCAGTTAGGAAGCTATTGCTATAATCCAGGCAAGATGGTAACAGGAGAGGTGGTGAAAAGTGATTGCATTGGAAATATTGTGAAGGAAGAGTTTGCAAGGTTGGCTAAATACTTGGCTGTTTGGTGGAAGAGAAAAAGAGGAGTGAAGGCTGACTTCAGAGTTTTGGCCTGAAATGATAAAGGCTGAAAAGAAGCAGGCTTGGGGACAAGGAAGAAGACTGGAATTAGGTTAGGTTTAGTATTTGCCTACTAAATACCTGAGTAGATATCTCAAGTCTAGAGTTAGAGATGAGGTTCTAGGCTGGAGTTATAAATTTGAGAATTATTTATCAGCATATAAAAAGTTTAAATGATATTAAAGCCATGAGACTGGAGGGATCACTAAGAGGAATATGCAGGATCCAGCTAAGGAAGTAAGGAGTAGCCTGTGAAGCAGGAGAAAAACCAGGAGAATGTGGGGGAAGCCAAGAATAGAAAGCATTTCAAAGAGGAGAGATTTTTTTTCTCAAATATCAGTTATTGGAGATAGGATCTACACTTGCAGATTTTCTATGATGACTAGATTGAAGGCTATTTATAATCACTCATAGTAAGAAGAACTTATTTGAGTAGATATGTGCTGTGTTATTATATTCCAAAAGAAATAACTTTGGGAACATCCAGTTTTTTAAATTTTATTTATTTTTATTGAATTTATTGGGGTGGCCTAAAATTATATAGGTTTCAGATATACAATTCTATAATACATCAACTATATATTGTATTGTGGGACCCACTGGCACAGTCTCCTTGCTCACCTAAACTGGGTGCTCCAGGAATGACCCTTGTGTGAATTATGTGGGCCCTCCTGTTGTAATTGAGTCTTGATTGCTATTGATCCCATTCACGCGTGGGGTGGACCCTCGGGCTGGCTGAATGGGAGGGTCGATCCCTACCATGATGTACAAGCTGCTCTGCAGATACTGACCACAAAAAAGCAGAATTCACCTCAGCAGGGTCTGGTACCTGCTAAGATCTCCCTTTAGATCTGCTGCTTGTGAAGCTACCTGGATCCTGCTCTGGTGTTCTCTGAAGCTGGCCACTGGGTGTGTGGGGGGCCTTCAAGAGTCAAAAAGATGGGGCTAGTGGATCTCCCATGAAAGAGAGGTGCAGGTCAGGCTTGAGGGAAGGTCGGGGAGTAGCCCCCACCCCAGAGCCACTCAACTCAGTTACTGAGATCCCTTAGTCTGCCCAGACCTCTACAACCCAGCCCAGGCAGCTGACTCCTCAGGGTACGAGCTCCCAGGATGGTGCAACAGAGAGTCCAGAGTGTGAGGCAATTGCATTCCCCCAGGCTAACGTATATGGAGGGGAGTGCTCCACCCAAGTAGGAAGGCATCTGGGGTGTGGGAGAGAGACTCAGCACAGAGATCCTGGCAGTTGTCCCTTCAGCTCTCTCACAGAGCCATAAAGCCCAGTCTCTTTTCACATGATTCTAGTCCAATCTGCCCTCCCTCTGCTGGAGCCCAAGATGAGTGGCTGTGAATGAGATTTTTGTGCATTGGCCCGTTAAGAGGGTGCCTGTGTCTAGCAGACTCTCCTGGCCCCCTGACAAATAGAATCCCCACTGATTTTCACAGCCATGTCTTCCTAACTCTGATGCTCTGGTCTGGAAAGCCTGGCTTGGGGTTGAGACCGCACCCTTCTCAGGAGGAACCTTTTCAGCTGAGATATCCTTCCAAAATCTTAGCTACCATGTGGTGGAGTGGGGCTAACCCTTTCCCCAGTTCCACCCTTCTTCTGCAAATCCTTGGTTATAAGACTTCTCTTAAGCTAGCCTTCAATTGGTTATTCAGGTTGATTGCTCTACATTTTAGTTGTAATTCCAGACTCGTCCTGGGAGGGGGTGAGTGTGTAACATCAACCTACCCTGCTGCTATCTTGGATCCAAGCATTTCTTATTTTCCACAACTTTCCCCACCTCCATCATCACAATTGTTTCTAATTGCTCTTATGGTTGTTTTCTCATTTCATAGCGATTTTATCAAGACAACTATGATGACAAATGGAAAATATTCTAGTTCTCAGTCATGTGTGTTAATGAAGGAACAGACTGATTATAAATAATTTACTAAGCTAGACACTAAAAATTACTTCTATTTGTTTTTAAATATTTAATTTACATTGGGTTATAGACATGTCATATTCTGGGAATTCATGTCACATTATAAAATGAAGCTGGTCTTTGAATATATTCATTATAAGTACATGTTGACTACATTTAAACCACTTTCTATCTTCAATCCTGCCTAAGACATCTGGTTTTCTTACTCCCTTAAGAGAGTATTTTAAAGTATTTTATTTAAGTCACCTTTCCTGATAACTGATCTGAGAGGAGGAGAGAAGAAATAGATACTAGTATAACTCATTGAGAGCCTCGGGATATAGACATTCAGTCTCCATTCCTTTTTTTACTGAACTTCAGGCTACCAGTCCAATAAGGCAACAAAGAAAAGTAAACAGAAATGAGTAGCAAAATAAATAGCAATCTTTATCCTACTGAAAATAACCATAAATTTAAAAATGCAATCTTGGCCATATCGTAAAAGGATTTTCTTGGTCTCTTTGCATAGCTGTATTTTATTCCATTCTGAACTCATCTGGACTTTTTTAGAGATTGTACTGCACCCTAAACTTATTTACCCTAAAAATCTTTTGCAAAACAT